TCACCAACTCCCTACCTTCAATCAAGGATACTCTATTAACCTAGGCAGATATTCTCATTCTAGGTCAAAGCAGAAACAACAGGATTTTGATCAGGATTCAAGTCATTCAATCATTAAAACCTCAATCGAATATAATCAATCATAGAATCAGTACTTGGGTTCATACAATCAAAGCCTAACATACAAATCTAGGGTTCTCCATACCCAGATGAATGGGAGAACTACTCCATGGAGAAGAAAGCAAAAGCAGAATCAGACACGGAATTCATACTGCGAAGGATGGATTCCTGCTTCTGGACGTTGATTGGCACTTCTCCAAGCTCAAGCTGGCCTCCAATGGTGTTGAAGATCAATCTAGTGCACTTGGGAGCTCTTGCTCGTCACTTTCTCTCTCTAGGAACTGATCTCTCTCTCAAAAACTCGAATCCCCTTGAATTGTGGCTGAAAATCTGCTTAAAAGCATCAGTGGCCAAAGCACGGTCGAGGGCACGGCCGTGCTTTGCCTGACTCCGCCCGTGTCTCGGCCAGGGCTTAATTACACGGCCAGCAAGTGGGTTAAACACGGCCGTGCTTCGCGTTGGACACGGCCGTGCTTTGGTGGAACACGGCCGTGCTTCGGTGCCCGTGTTTGCAACTGAATTGGCCAAACCGAATTTGCTCTCGGCATAAAAAGCACGGCCAGCAGTACACGGCCGTGTAATGCCTTGGGTCTGCCCGTGTTTTGGCTCCAGCTCACCGAAATGACTTCCGAATGCCCCGAAACTCGTGGTTAGCCTTCCCTTTGACGCCTGGGACCTGAAACATGACAAAATAGCACAACCCGGCGTAAAATAGGCCAAAACACACGACTATGCCCCTCAAACGGATAAGAACTAGGGGCGCAAACATGTGCAATTACATCGTTATCATTCCTGATTAAACGTTTTTGTACCAAAAAAATGGAGGTCCTTCACAAAAATTTTGGACGGATGGGTGTCAGACGGCACCCCTGCCCTTGACCTAGGTCCACTCCTGCTAATGTTAATCGCAACTATCTCGACAAGAATTGAAATACTGTGCTAGAGCTTGTACCATAAAAGTTAATGATTTAATCGTAATTGAGCTACTTCATACCATTAAATACCACCTATCAATTTAAACTCTAATAATAAATTTCTATGGTCATACAATATCTCAATCTTCGATTTTAAGTATTGTGTTCTCTTTCACCTTCACTTCTCTTCTTCTTTCCTCTTACTGCCTTCCCACTCCCACACACATCCCATCCCATTTCCGCAATCAAATTTCAGCAGACAAAAAAAAAAAAAAAAAAAAAAAAAACGGACGGAAACTAGGAAAGAGAGAGAAAGAAGCAGACGGTGACGGAGAGGCAGCTAGGCTGATAGCTCAGCTGCGGAAGCGAAATATCATCAAATCCCTCTTCCCCAAAAAAGCAAAAGAGACGACAGCATTCTCCCCACCCCTCCTCTCCTCCCAAAAGAAAGAGAGAGAAAGCGACCAAAATTCCGATTACATTCCTACTTGGTCGTCGTAAACCATGCTTCTCTTCTTCTCTCCGGTCTCCGCTGCCGGAATTGGCTCCTCCGCCTTTTGAATGCACCTGCCTGCTCTCTCTGATAGATAGATAGAAAGAAAACCCCAATAAAATCGCGTGGGAGGCAAAGAAACAGAGAGACAGAGAGAGATAACGGGGAAAGGAAAAGACCAGAAAGAGGGCGGCGACCTCGCCGGTGAGTGTTATTTATGCGGTATAAGAAATGCGAGAGGGATTAATCGTTGATGACAGGAGCGACACCAAGAAGAAGAGGTCTGACGGGCTTGGCGAGGATACCAAGGTCGTGGTGTTGCTCAAGGATAAAGACAACACTACAACCCTACCCCCTCGGCCGCTGCCGATTTCCTTACCTCCTCACCCAATCGCCGTCGGCCGTCCCCGATCCCAGTCCGCCACTCGAAGGGTCACTCCTACTACCATCACCATAGCTTCGTCTGCGCTGGACAGCTCTAACGGCGACGCCACCACCACCGTCGAGAAGCACCTTCCCAACGGAGATCTCTACCTCGGATCCTTCGCCGGCAACGCGCCTCACGGATCCGGCAAGTATCTCTGGGCAGACGGGTGCATGTACGAGGGAGAGTGGCGCCGAGGGAAAGCCTCCGGTAAGGGGAAATTCTCCTGGCCCTCTGGTGCCACCTTCGAGGGGGAATTCAAGTCGGGTCGGATGGAAGGGTTTGGAACCTTCACCGGATCCGACGGCGATACCTATCGTGGCTCCTGGAGCGCCGACCGGAAGCACGGCTACGGTCAGAAGCGATACGCCAACGGAGATTTCTATGAGGGTACCTGGAAGAAGAATCTCCAGGACGGTCAAGGGAGGTATGTGTGGAAGAATGGTAACGAGTACGTTGGAGAATGGAAGGGAGGCGTTATCTCCGGGAAGGGGGTTTTGATCTGGGCCAATGGGAACCGATACGACGGCCAATGGGAGAACGGAGTTCCCAAGGGGAACGGCGTGTTCACCTGGCCGGATGGGAGCTGCTACATCGGGACATGGAATAGCGGCAAGGACTTGACCAGAGCTCAGCAGTTGAACGGAACCTTCTATCCAGGGAATGGGAAGGAACATTGTTTCAAAGGAAACGACGGAGATTTCGTTGCGACCATGGCGACGAGGAAGAGATCTTCGGTGGACGGCGGGAGAGGGAGTGGTATCAATTTCCCGAGAATATGCATATGGGAGAGCGATGGCGAGGCTGGGGACATTACCTGCGATATCATTGATAATGTGGAGGCTTCCATGATTTACAGAGATGGTTTGGGATTGGAACGAGATGGGATTCACCAGTTCAGGAGAGGGCCTTGTTGTTTCGATGGGGAGGCTAAAAAGCCTGGCCAGACCATTTCTAAAGGGCATAAGAACTACGATTTGATGCTTAATTTGCAGTTGGGTATCAGGTAAAATGCCTGCTTCCGCTCTTGATTGTTTTCCTTGAAGGGAACCTTTGCATTATTGTGTTTGTTTTGACTAATTTGTCTTTCCTTTTGATTGCAGATATTCTGTGGGGAAACATGCTCAGATAGTTAGAGACCTGAAGCCTTCTGATTTTGATCCCAAGGAGAAGTTCTGGACGAGATTCCCTACAGAGGGATCGAAAATTACACCTCCACACCAGTCGTCAGAGTTCCGGTGGAAGGATTACTGTCCGATGGTGTTCCGGTAGGAATCCGCACTCACGATTTATACTTCCTATGAGCTTTGAAAACGAATATGACTGATATGAATGGTTCTTCTTGATTTGTTGTTCCTAATAGGAATTTAAGGGAGCTGTTCGAAGTAGATACTGCAGATTACATGTTGGCTATATGTGGCAATGATGCCCTCAGAGAGCTTTCATCTCCAGGGAAGAGTGGAAGCTTCTTTTACCTTACCCAAGATGATAGATTCATGATCAAGACGGTGAAGAAATCTGAAGTCAAGGTTTGTTGCCTACTGCGTTTGACTTCTGCCTGTTCCTAAATAAAGAATTTTAATATGTGCACATGGAATGCTTCCAATGGTGCAATATGGTTGTGCTCTCTATCATTGAAGTATTTCAAACAAGTGCTGAGGTATTTCCATATCCATTTTTCAGGTCCTCATTCGGATGCTTTCCAGTTATTACCAACACGTTTGCCGATACGAGAACTCACTTGTGACCAAGTTCTTCGGCGTGCATTGTGTTAAACCTGTTGGTGGTCAGAAGGTATAAGAACCTTGCACTTCTGTTCAAAACTATCTCCCTTCTTGCTGCCACTTGACAATTGCTGACTCTTTGTTCTGTTTGTTCAAACAGACCCGCTTCATTGTGATGGGCAACTTGTTTTGCTCAGAGTATAGAATACATAGGAGATTTGACTTAAAAGGATCTTCCCACGGACGCACAACCGATAAGCCCGAGGACGAGATTGATGAAACCACAACTCTCAAGGACCTTGATCTCAATTTCGTATTCCGGCTCCAGCGGAATTGGTACCAGGAGCTTATGAAGTAAGCTTTTCTAGGATTGATCATCAATGAATCCTTTTCACATTTGTTTTATGAACTTCTGATTGACACTTCATTCTTCTAATGATATTGTAGGCAAATCGATCGTGATTGTGAATTTCTGGAAGCTGAGCGGATAATGGATTACAGTCTCTTGGTTGGTCTTCACTTCCGCGACGACAGCACTTGCGATAAAATGGGATTATCACCATTCGTTTTGCGCTCAGGTGGTTACTAGAAAATAAAATATTAGCCCTTTTGGCTTTGACTGGGATTGTGGTGCTGTGTGGATGAGATGTGGCCGGCCAAACTTTGCTCAACGTGCTTGTTCTTTGTTGTTTAGGGACTAAGGACTCCTACCAGAATGAGAAGTTCATGCGTGGCTGTCGATTTCTTGAAGCGGAGCTACAAGACAGAGATCGAATTTTAGCTGGCAGGTTTGTTTATCTCCAACTTTCATTGCCTTATCCTAATTCCAGCCTTGATGCATGGAATATAATCTTTTTGCTTGCTGGATTAGTAGGTGACATCTCTGGGTGTCATGTATCTAACAATTGCAAGAAACATGTGGTCGAGCCTCTCTTTGGTGTTGTTTATTTCAGCACTAAAGGTGGCAATGATGATTTCTGTAATTGAATATCAGGAATTTGATGGAATTATTGGGGACCTGTCTTTAGCAGACAGTATAAGTTGTTTGTGGGGGCAATTGAAGTGGTGGGTGGTCCTGTTTAGCATCTAAGATAAGTTTCGAATCTGCCCCCCTTGGTTGTAGTTGTGACTTGTGAAACGTATCACTTATGAAGCTGACATTAATCTACAATAGTTGTCTATTTTCTTTGTCAGCAGTATCTAAGTGGTGGTTGGTTTGGTAGCCATTGATTGTGCAATATGAGGTTTTAAGAAATCTTGTATCTTGAGGATGAAACTGTAAGACGTGTGTGCAATACCAAAACATAGTTTTTGATTTGTGGGGATTGTAAAATCGTAACGGTGGAAGGATCTTGCACAATCTGAGTACTTGAAAACCCAGATCGTCAAGCATACGTGATATCGTGCAATCTGTTTGTTTGTTTGTTTGTTTTAATTTATCTTGGTTTGACTTGTATGTATATGCAGGAAACCGCTGATTAGGTTGGGGGCAAACACGCCGGCGAGGGCAGAGAGAATGGGTCGACGGAGCGACTTTGATCAGTACACCCCCGGGGGAGTGGGGCAGTTGACGCCGCGCAGGAGTGGGGAGACGAGCGAGGTGGTGCTGTATTTCGGGGTCATCGACATATTGCAGGACTACGATATCAGCAAGAAGCTGGAGCATGCGTACAAGTCGTGGCAAGTCGATCCAGCGTCGATCTCGGCGGTGGATCCCAAGCTCTACTCGAGGAGGTTCAGGGATTTCATCGGGCGAATATTCATCGAGGACAGGTAGCAAACAAGGTCTTTGCTTCCGTGTCTCCTTTACATTAACACCCCATTGCTCTCTGGTTCTGGACAGAGAAATGAATGCCCTTAAATGGTGGAAGATGGTGGCATTTAAGTAGATGAGGGGAGGAAACAATACATGATGCGCACCAGACCAGGGCAAAAGCCGTGATTTGTTAATTAATGAAGGCGGCAGGACAATTAAGGAGGCTTGGCTGGCTGGCTGATGGGTGAGTTTTGGGAAGTTGGGCCATGGGGATTGCTTGGGATTGGGATTTGGGGAAGGTGATGATGGCAAATGGGCGGTATGTAAATTGAGTTTGGGTTCTTTCTTGGTGGGGATGGGATTCCATTTCTCCCTTTTCCTCTTTTGGGGATTTGTTTTCTGGTTTAGGGTTTCATGTTTTTTTTCTAAATTAGAGGGAGGGTTATTTTGGGAAGGAAGTTTTGGTTTTGGGGATATGGTTCAAAAGGATTGGTAAGTGGTGGGGGGGAAATGGACTGAATTTTTCCCCCGGGGTAGTGAAAATTCAAAAGCCGCTGTTTGGGTGGGTGAGAAATAAGGGGAATTGTACAGCTTATAGGATTGAATGGAACATTGAACCCAGAGAAAAAAAGGGTAAAAATGAAACAGTGAAAAAAGAAAGTTGATGACTGATGAATGAATGGATGACCAGTTTTTAGTTAATTCATGTCTTCATATTTTATTGTAGTGGTAATTACTGAGAGAGGATTGTGACAGGAGAGAAGCTGAGAAGCGGATTTCTGTGTTTTTTTACCGTCCATTTCAGTTGCTGCCATTCTTGGAATAGAGAGAGAGAGAGAGGGGGGGTCTGATTAGTCATTTTACACAATTTTGGTAATACATTTGGGTTTGACAGTGAAAGCGGGGAAGAAGGGAAGTTAAAGGGAACATGAAAAGAAGAGAAAGGCAAAAGCCCCCAACTACTATTGAAAGATGCGCTGCCTCCTCACTCCTCTCTTCTTGGTCGTCTTCTTCTTCCTCTTCTTTATTGACTGACCTTGTCCCCCCTCTCTCTCTCTTCTTCTCACCATTTTCTAATGGTGCTATTGAACCATTCTCTCCATGCCTAATGGTAGGATAGAGATGGATGAGAAATTGGTGACATGTCGGTCGAGACAATCGGGTTCAACCGATACCGTTTACAATTTCGGATGGTAGGTTTTGGTGTGATTGACATGACCGATTTCGACATCTAAAATAAATTAATGTTGTTTTGATGCATTGAATGAAAATTTTGAGTTGTTTATTGAGTTTGAAAGTTAAATGCTGATGTTATTTATCAAATTCAATTATAATTTTTTTTTATATTTGTTAAATTCAACTAGATTTTAGGGAGATTGTCTTCAAATAGACTATATGCATAAATTCGTTTAGTGTTAATGATTTTCCTCTTTCAAAATGGGTTGATGGCATTTAGTTTGTTAGCGTACTTAAATGGATTTTAAAAAGAATTTTCGTATACAATTGAATCATACTACATTGTTATTCAATTTTGAAGTTCCATATTCGTATCTCTTAAAAAATGCTTAACAATATAAATAAACTTATGTCAATTTTTAAAAAATTGTATTTACATTTGACGATTGTGCATCCAAAATAATTAATCTAATGAGAATTTTTTTTTTTTTTTTGTTGTTGCCTAAAACTCATTGTAAAACATGTAAGGTGTAGTCAAATTCCTTCAAAATATGATCTTCTCTTTTGGGGATATGTATAACAAAAAAAAAAAAAATCGCTTCATAATATGCTCTTGGATTAGGAAACAAAATTTCACAAAAAAAGGTTTGAAAATTAATGTGTACGTACGTAGATAGGACAAAGTAGGATATTGGGATTTGTATGTCATTCATTACTTAGTTACGTTTAGAAAATTTGAAGTAAATAATGTGCAATTGAGTGTCTTTTTAGTTTTTATTGGAGAACAAAACAACACCTGTTGGTGATCCCTTGGATTGGATTTGGATGGCCTTTATGTTTTCTTAATTAATGTGTGTGCTGTTAGTCTGTTACGATAACGGGAATACCACAAATGGAGATTGGAAAAGAAGGAAATGAACAGAGAATAAGATATTACGATCATAAAATATGAAAGGGGAATTTTCAAGGCAGACATGATGGGGAATCGTGCAACTGGATTTTTTTTTCTCCATCTATTCTATTTCTTTCTTTCTTTCTTGTTATATACTTACTACTTCTCGCTAGGATGACAAGGTCAAAGTCCACGACCTGAACTCTCGAGAGAGAGCAGAAGAGCAAGAGTGGGGAACACGTCTGGTTGTAAAAAAAATTATAGGTATAATATGCTCTTCTACTTTGATGTTTTATCAAACATGCTCTTTTACTATTTTTTACATCAAACATGTACTTGTACTTTGGAAAACTTATCAAACATGCCCATTTGTTAAAATTTCCATCCAAAAATCGTTAACCAAGACCGAGCTTTGGTTTGGGCGACCCAAATATCTAAAATATCCCTAATAATTTCACTTTAGAGTTTTTTTGTTCTTTTGTATAGCCAAATAATTCTAATAATATCACTTTGACGAGACCTAGAGAAATGAAATAAGAGTCAAACTGACATTTTCTCTCCCATTTATCGATGTCAGGTCTGTTTACCAGCAATCAATGGAAGTCCCAAATAACGCACAGGCAGGTGACCCTCTTTAAACCCCGATACCCTTATAGCATTCTGCTTAAATTGATTTGCATGTCCCCCAAAGAAGACTTCACACTTTTCTGGGTTGCATTGAAGTCCTGAAAGTTTATAAAAATCATCCAATATTTGTCGAACTCTACTAAGGGCCATTGCTGACCCTTCTGTGAAGATAAGAAGATCTGCATGTCCCCCAAAGAAGACTTCACACTTTTCTGGGTTGCATTGAAGTCCTGAAAGTTTATAAAAATCATCCAATATTTGTCGAACTCTACTAAGGGCCATTGCTGACCCTTCTGTGAAGATAAGAAGATCATCCGCGAAAACAAGGTGGGTCAGACCAAGAGGTTTACACTGAGGGTGGAAAGGCAATTCATGATTCCCTGCAGCCCTGTCCAGCATACTAGAGAGCGGTTCCATGGCAATGGTGAAGAGATAGGGGGAGATTGGATCCTCCTGTCTCACCCCTTTGGAAGCTTGAAAGAAACCGAAAAGACTCCCATGTATTGTGATACTAAAATAGGCTGAAGACAGACATGTTCTAATCCATTGACAAAAAACTGAGGGAAAGGCCATCTTCACCATCACACACACAGAAACTCCCAGTTAACTGAATCAAAAGCCTTTTTAAGGTCAACTTTCACAGCCCCTCTAGAGGATATGTGCTTCCTATTGTAATTCTGCACTATTTCCTGAGCCATGAGAATGTTTTCAATTATGCTTCTCCCCTGAATAAAAGCTGATTGATTCCTACTAATTATAGAAGGTAGCACCTTTTTTAGTCTGTTGGCAATCACTTTAGAAATAATTTTATAGAGGACATTGATGCAGGCTATGGGGCGATAGGCAGAGAGATTATCTGCATTTGGTACCTTAGGGATGAGAGTTAGAGATGTTGAATTCATACCTCCTGGTAGTTGCCCCGAAGTAAAGAAATACTGAATCCCTTGAGTGATTTCTGGTCCCACCACACCCCAACAACGTTGAAAGAAAGCAGCGTTCCATCCATCCGGCCCTGGAGCTTTTGATGGATCCATTTCAAACAGTGCTGATTTAACTTCTTGAGCAGTGACTCTGTCACATAAGAACTTTTGATCTTCAGAGGATAACCTGTTTCTTATACAACCTTCAAGAAAGTTGCCATCTACCCTAACTTCTGAGTTGACCACCCCAAACAGCTTTTTATAGAAACAAACAGCTTCATCCGCGATGTCTTGTACCTCTGTTATTTCCTCCCCACTAGATGCAATAAGTTTCCTTATTTGCTTCTTTGCAGTTCGGATTTTAACAGAGGAGTGGAAATGAGAAGAATTAGTATCTCCCAACCCCAGCCAGCTGATACGAGATTTCTGTTTATAAAACGCCTCCTCAGCTGAAGCCAAGTGAAGAAATTCTTTTCTGATATCATTGACTTCTTCAAATAGGTCCTCTGTAGGATGCTCTAAAGCTTGCAATTGCTTAGTCTTAAGGGCTTCCTCTTTCTCCTTGACTCTTTTGGAAATATCTGAGTATTTCTCCTTATTTAGCTTCCGCAGCTCAGCCTTGAGAGAGACCAACTTCTTCCTAACTCCAAACAAACCCGAATGAGATGAAACTTGCCAACAGTTATTCAGAATATCAGGGAATGAAGGATGATCAAGCCACATATCATAAAACCGAAAAAGGCTTGGGGAAACTCTTGGTTGGGACATGGGGTTTAATTATAATCCCACAGTGGTCAGAGCAATCAGGAGGTATAAACTCCACTACACAGTCAGAGAAGTGTTCAAACCAGTCTACATTCACCAACAGTCTGCAAGCTTTTTGGCAATGGGATTAAGTCGTTGTTGATTGGCCCAAGTAAAGACTGGCCCTGTTGCTTTATGATCTACCACTTCCATCTGATCAATCCACTCCCTAAAGTCTGTCATACTTGTGGTAATGGAAACCGAATTTGATGCTTCAGCAGGGCAAAGAATAGCATTGAAGTCCCCTCCAATCATCCAGGGAAACCCTTTCACCTTCCACTGGCCCATAGCCTATAAGTTAGTAGCCTATCCTTCTCCTCATTCAAACCATACACTGCAGTAAAGAAGAATTGAGTCCCCTTCTGTCCTGCAACTAAATAGTGAATAAAGTTCTCATCCTCTTTCAGCACTTGTACCTTCATATCATCATTCCACCCAATCCAAATCCTTCCTAACCTGCTTTTTGAGCAGTTATCAGTGAACTGGTACCCTACAAATTTCTCCCTTATTTCATCTATAATATCTTGTTTTTGTACTCTAGTTTCAAGAAGAGCAAAAAGTGAAACCTTATGAACTCTTATGTATTTAAGCACAGCAGCGTGCTTCAAGGGGATGTTAAAGCCCCTTGTGTTCCATATGAGAGAAGTCATCTATGAGGAGCAGCCACCTTAGTGGCTCCCTTACTTCTAAGCCCCTCAAGCCCACCAAGTTTCTTCTATGGAGCCTGCAATTTGATGTCCCTTCCACAAAGCAGATCAAAGGCATTAGAGTGCAAGATAGGTGTAGATTTCCTGGGGACAGACTTCGATTTAGCTCCATTTATGACTTTGTTAAACTCCTCCTGCGAGGGAAGTGCACTCAGAGTGACTGGAGGTGTGGAATCAACAACTACTTCCTTACCCTTCTCGGACACTCCCTCCCCAGCAGTCTCAACAGTAACCACATCTTTCTCTGATACTCCCTCCCCAGCTGGTTGATCAGAAACCACATTAATCACCTCTTGTAATGGTGCAACCTGGAGTTTCTTCGGTCTCCAAACTCTCCTAGTTGAAGCTCCCGGAGGAGGCATCAAACAATCATGACCAAAGACACCACAGGCCGCGTAACAGCAGGGTAAGCCACAATAAACAACCCCAATATACATCTCCTCCATATCATCAGGTTTAATACTGATCTTGTTTACCAAAGGCTTCTTAGCACTAACTTCAACACACACCTTCACTGCACCTATCTTCCACCTCTGGGATACTGAATGATCCATACACATAGGTTTACCAATAGAACTCGCTATTCTCCCTAGACCCTCTCGTAAAGCTAGCTCAGCAGGAATACCTGTTAGGTTGACCCACACTGGTATGGCCGAATTGTTTATCTCCAATGCTCTGATTCCCGGAACCCAACGCCTCAGACATATAATCTTCTCCTTGTAACACCCCATTTCGGCTAAAATCGTATTACTGTCACTAGATAATTTCACGATTTAAAATCGAGCATTTTGGCAGTATTTCGACGAAAATCGGATTATCGATCGATCGGATAAGTATACGTATTATATATATATATAAACATTCCCGTCCATTTAATTCTCATCTCCGTCCCATTTAGCTACTTTTCCCCAGCTCGATTCTTGAGCTATAGTGATCCAAAAATCCCGTAAGTAATGCCTAATTCATCCATACATTGTGATTTATTTATTTAGAGCTTTAAAACGAGTTTTTGGATCAGGAATTTCGTGAGTTTCCGATCGAAGGAATTAGGGTTTCGGAGTATCCGGAAGCCGGATTGAACCCAAATTTCATATACGAGCTTCCTGCAGCGAGGTAATCAATCCTCTAGTTCTAATCCCTAAATTTCGGCAATTATTTAGGTCGGGGTCCAAACCGCTGAATTTAACTCCGACCAGGGTTTGATTTGTTTTTATCAAGAATTTGACCCGGAGCTTAGAACTAATATTGACGGGGATACTGCAGGGGATATTAGGACGGTCTCGGATTTTAATTCGGGGTTCGTTCGTGAAATTGACATTTTAGTACGGGAGGCTAGAACCGGTGTTTGAACGACCAAAACTGGTGAGGGATTAGCACGGCACACCGGGTTTGTCGTATCACGATAATTATATTGATGCTTAGAATTGACCTAGGTGAATTAGAATTGCATGATTAGGGGTGTATGGATTTTTATGCTATATGATGAATCATGGATTGTTGTATGATATTATTGACTTGCCCTAGCCGATATGGACCTTGTTTATGCTGATGATTTCGTATATGTTGCCAATTGTGGGCTTGACTGTGGATATGCCTTATGATAGTTCGAAAAGGTGTTTGGGTATGATTTTTCATGATTGTTGTATTTGGATGCACATGTGGGAAAATATATATTCCCTGGTGATATTATGACGTTTAAGGAGGATGACTTGCACGAGGGTTTATCCCGAGGAAGTGCAATTATACGACTCCTGATTTACCTATGTTGAGCCAATTATAGCCAGGTCAAGTACATGTGCAAGTAATGAATTATGATTAAGCAAGATGAGATATGAATCATGTATAATGATACCAAATATGAGTGTTGTGGTCTCACGGTCAACTACATAGTAATTAGGGCTCCCTATGCTATTACTCTATTATGATATGTATGATAGTCACACCTGTCATGTGGTGGTGACTGAAGAATTTTTACGAGATATGACCACACCCAGAGCGGTGTCGGGGTATGACTACACCCATAGTGGTGTGGGGTATGTATGACCACATCCGACGGGATGTTGGGGTATGTATGACTACATCCGACGGGATGTGGGGTTTGTTTCCCGGGAGAGTTATTAGCATGGGAGTAGCCAGGCGCCTATAAGTAAAACATGATAAGATGCATATGCATAAGTCAAGGTGGTTGAGTCTTTTGCCTATTGGGATGTCGGAGGGCTGAGATCTGATCCTAGTGCTTTGGCTTGTTTGCTAGATGTATGGTAGGGGTATGCTCTGTTATGAACTCACGATGCTATGATTATCTCACTCAGCTATGAGCTGACCCTCTTTTATTCTTCATCTCTGCTTATGCTAGTGTAAGCAGATCATCAGCAGCAGTAGTAGATAAGTGTTAGGTGGGCGAGGAGCTAGAGTTGAAGCCAGGATGAGGTATGGTCTTCAACTATTCTGTGCTTGGACTACTACTCGGGATGTTAGCCAGTGATCCACACCTTTTTGTACAAATGTTTTGAGAATGTTTTTCATGTGCATACTAGCTTCTGATGTAGTGTGAGATATCCACAGGTGTGGAAAGTTGATGATATGTGTATATGTTGTGTAACTGTGTAAGTTGTGACAATTATGGTATGTATAAGTATGGTATGCAGTTGTGGAGTATGAAAAGCGTGACTATGGCTAAGAAAAGCCAATGCATATAGTTGTGAGTATATATGTTTGTGATGAGTTATTTTGCAGGATAAGTTGCAAGAACTGTTAGCCCATTACGCGAGTAATTCATGTCAAAATTTTATTTGGGTAAATTTTGATAATTAATGTAGCACCCGAGATTAATTCCGCTGCAATTGTATGAATAATATGATTAGCTAATACGCATAGGGTAGGGTGTTACAGTTTGGTATCAGAGCCCGGTTCCCTCTTTTTGCTGTTATGGCGTACTATACCCTATGGGAGGTTAAACACTCCTAAGGAGGGGAGTACCCCATAATGACTTAAACTGGGAATTGAGTTTGACATGATTATGTGTATTGGTATATTGGATGAAATTATCTGCATCATGGTTTTCAAAATTGAGTTTTGAACTTCTATGTTTTCAAGTAATTATTTTGGGAAATTTTTTGTATTAACCAAGTGAGAGAATGGGTGAAGAATGAATTTTGTGTGGATCAATCTAAGGCCAATATTTCCTTGTAGCTCGCATGGAAGTTGTGAAAATGTTCCTACTAACCAGTGGAGAGGAGTGGGGGCGGTTGATGCAAGACCGCCAGTATTAGACTATGCAAAGATTAAGAGTTTGGGTGAGAGAGATGGAAGATGTGAGTCCAGATGCTGTAGTAGAGTGGTTGAGAGAGATGGAAGATGTGTTTGAGTATCTTTATGAAACCCCAGAGGAAAATGTGCAATATGTTGTTTTTCTCCTAAAGGGGTACGCAAGGGCTGGTGGTCCTCAGTCTCTAGAGTTAATGGTGAACGAGTTCAGTTCACTTGGGAGGAGTTCATGAAGGCCTTGAAGACAGAGTTTCTTCCCGAAGCTTTTATCAGGGCAAAGAATAATGAATTCGCCAACCTTAAGCAGGAGAACATGACAGTAGGGATGGCAATGGGGCGGGTTTGGGGCGGGTTTGTCTAAACCATCCCCATCCCCATCTTCAAATACCCAAACCCATACCCGCCCCATACCCATGCGGGGGAATGTTTTGCAAACCCATCCCCATACCCGTGGGTTTCGGGTACCCATGGGTAATACCCGTACCCATACATCCAACATTATTATACGTAAATTTTACAAGAAAAGTGTTGATGTGACTTGAATCGGACTATCAGCCGCTACGACTGGTAATCGGTGGGGGTGCGGGGGCAACGCCCCCGGCCCACGGTGTATGGGCTCAATGTTATTTGGGTTCGGGTTCTGGGCCTGGTTTGTAACCGTTCCTTTGCCAGATTGGATTAGGTTTAGACCCACATGGAGAAGTACTATAAATACTTCTCATACTCCTCTGTAATATGTAATCTCCTCGATATAGTGAAACTGGCTCTCTCTCGCCCGTGGACGTAGCTAACACACATCGTGTTAGTGAACCACGTAAATCGTGTGTCTGTGTTTTCGATTCTCGCTCTCGTATTCTTGCTTTATCGATTCCGGCAATTTCCCGATCCGTAGCAGCGCGTTTATAACAAAAAGTTTTAATTATTACTCTAAATAAACCTATTATATCATGAAGTCAACAAAACACGATCATTTTCTTAATACGGTTCAAAGTATACGATCCTAAAACATCCATTAATACATAATATAGAGTATAATATTTTTCAAATTATTATCTTCTAACTCTTATACATCTACTAAGTAATAATTAACTAACATAATCTTGTAGACAAGGGGAAACGTGAAAGAGTGAAAGGAGAATTGAGGGAAATGAATTAGATTTGGATTAAAATGGTCACTCAATTGAATTTCTACTATTTATTTCTTTGAGTTATCCTCATCACCATTGATAGATTACAATTTAATCCACATATTTTTTTATATGTGAAGAAATTCACTTGATGGGGCGGGTATGGGTATAGGGCGGGGGAGGTCAAAACCATACCCGCCCCATACACATCAAACTTTTTGCGGGTTTTACCCATACCCACCCCATACCCGGTCAAAGCGGGGATTCCCTGCGTTGACTGGGTCGGGGGCGGTCGGATACCCGCGACCATGGGTTTTATTGCCATCCCTACATGACAGTTACTGAGTACACCATTCATAGGAGGGAAATGGTGATGCTCACGAGGAATGAGTTACAAAGGTGGACCCAAAGCAAGAACTATCTAATATCGAGGCATTGAACAAATACAAAAAATGCAGAACATAAGCAAAACTAAGACTATATAATAAGGGAAGAACATTGATTCCCAAAGATGATACATCGATCCTTATTTATTTGCCCCTTTTCTCTTTCTCTTTTACTCTTTTTTTCAAATTTTTTCATTTTTTTATATTTGATTTTTTTTCTTCTTTTTACTGTTTTTTTTAAATGGGTATGAGACTAAAAGACTTGATGGTCAATACCTCTTTTCTAAGTAGTAGAAGACAAAATGATGCAAAAGAAGGTGCAGTGGCAGAATGCCTATGCAGTGTCAAACTGCATACTGCAGTGGCAAAATGCATCTCTCATCTATAGCTTCAACTCCTACCTTAGAACATCAACTTTATTTACAAGACAATGAAAATGAAAATGGGTCACTATATTCACACAAAGGACCTCATTCCTCGCGAGAAGGGTTCAACGGGGGAATACAAGAAAAGGGTAAAGGTGAGAGGTGTGATCGAACCGAAAAAACAAGGTCAAGTCTCAAAGAGGTTGATCCTAGTTGTCAATGATAGGGTAGGCTTTTTGGCTCGAGTTGTACTAATTGTCTCTATCGTTTATGCTTGCATACATACAACACAATCCATTCGTGATTTTGATCAAGATTACCGAAACACAAAGTAATGAAAAACTTCACACAATAGGAAATTGACATTGAAGGTTCAAACTCACGGCTACTAGATGCCATACCCTACTCTATACAAGTTATACTCAATTTTACCTAAGTTCGGGCACAATTCAATTCTAGTGAGTGAATTTTAATACGAGGGTACACCATGTGAAACAGGCAATCCTACATGCAAACACAAGTTATGCATTTCAAGGTTAACTTGGGATAACCGAGAGGCAGATTCATACACCGAAGCATAATAAGTTCACAAACCATTCACACAATCATTCCAAGCAACGACATTCTACCCTATCAAGTTCAAGACACAACACCTCAAACAAGTGGGAACGACTCACATTCACCAAACATTATGTACAATACGTACTCTAAATAAAACTAAAACTCTCCACCCCACACTTAGGATGGAACATTGTCCCTAATGTTCTGTACCTAGACTCTAAACATGCTAACACAAAAATGAAAAAGTAAGCAGAGGGAAAGATGAAAAACCTCGGGACAAATGCTAGGCGGATGAGGTGGGAGGTGGTGGAAGGTTGCTTGGGCAATCAATTCCACTCTTCTTGAGATGCTCGGACATTTTCTGAATAAATTGATGCTGGATGTTGATTTGTTGTTGTTGCTGCTGGTACTTATGATCTTGTTGCTCCAGTTGTTGTTGTAGGTGAGCAATGATGTCCCCCGGGTGAGTGCCTTGTGTTGGGGTGCTTGTGGAGCGATTTGGATCAGCTTGGGGAGTCCTTGAAGATGCTTCTGAGGTGCTGGCAGCGGCTGCTAGGATTTCTATTGCACGGGCAGCAGCCAAATCATCTTCTTCTGTTGCCTCCTTGGTGGTGGTTTTCTCCGTCTTGGCTTTTGCTTTCTCTTCCTTGATTTTTTTGAACTCAGGTATCGATACATACCTTCCTCTTGATGTGATTCTTCTTATGTAGTTCATATTGGATAGAGTTCTTTCTTCGATTACTATGGCTCCCTCACATTTGTCTATGCCATTTGGATTCTTTGGAAATCCGCAATAAGTTTGGGCTATAGCAGTAATGATTCCTCCAAATCTAATGTTGCCCTTTGATCCTTTTGAAGCTTGCTCTCCAAGGAGAACTCCCAACCAATAGCCCAAATTTAGTGGCTTCTTCTTGACACAACTGTAGAGGAAGCGGAGGTCGGTATTGTGTACACCGGGGTTGTCAGAACCACGACCCAAAGCTGTCCGACACAGGTATTCATGTACCAGCACCAAAGCAGGATCTCGAATGGTTTTTCTTCTTGTCTTTTGTGAGTAGAACTCGTTATCATCATCTGCAATTGTTCTCCAAAAAGCCTTTTCATCATAAGGAAGCTCAGGTTCTGTTGTTGCTGCCCCATCAAATAGCAAAGCCTTGTGTACTTGGATCAAGGACAACTCAAATTGTTTGCCTCCCAAAGAAAACTGAAACCTGCTGTTGATTCCATCTTTATGAAAGACAAATGTAGCTAGAAACGCCCTTGTCAATTTCTCATAAGTAGGAAATCTCATCTCTTGGAATCTAGGCCATCCCATATTCTTGAAGTAATGCAACACATTCTCCTCTATTCTAGTAATTTTCAGCACATCCATATCCATAAATTGAGAGGGAATTACCGGCCGAGCAAGAAGAATCTTGTATTTCTCCATATGTTCAGGAGGAATGAGAGGTTTACCGAAGGTTGCTGAGACATCTATTCCACTTTTTGTTGCTGCCGATTTTGATTTTGTAGTAGTTTTGACCTTTTTGCTTCTCGGTTGGGCTGTAGGTTGTGAGGGAGCTTGCCTCTTTGATGGTGACTTCTTGTTGTTGTCTTTAGCCTTCTGTTTTCTTTCCGGTTGAGGTACATTGTTGCTGGAACGTGTTCGCTTCAATGGTGGCTCTCCCGGCTTGGTTTTGGCACTTTCTTTGGCTTGTGGTGGAGGTACATGACTGCTGCAGCTTTGGTGCTCAGATGGCAGCTCCATTGGATCGTCAAAGGCGTCCATTGTGGCTTGAACATAGTCTCCCATCATCTGAAGTTTTGATCCTTCTGGCAGAGGCATAACAATAACTCTTTCCACTCTCTTCTTCCCAATGCTGCCTCTAACAACCCTATGAAATGTGGGGGGAACTTCAACTCCGGCAACTTCTGGTCTAGGCTCTGGAACTGGACCGGTTTCAGAGAGAATACATAGCTCATATGTCATATCCCACTTTCTGAATTCTGTTTCTCCATCAATGCTACGGTCAACCACTTGGAAGTGGTCAACTCCAGCAATTTTTCTCCTCACCATGGCTGCTTCTCAGAGCTGTTTCCTCCAAATATAGAGTAGAACCAAGCTGTCTTCTTCTTTGCTCAAACTTTGTACTTCACCATAGCTTGCAACAGGCAATATGCTCCATTCTAATCAATTCTTGACGAACCCATGAGTATTAGAGTCATTTCGAGTTGATGGAGAAGGATTTCTGTCAATTTTATGAGCAGAATTTGGGTTTTAGAAAACCCTAGAAATTGGGCAAAAGTGATGAAGAAGGAGGAATGAGGAGAATTGGTTGGGTTGATAGAGAGGGTGAGTCACGAAATTGATGGATTGGCTGAAGTTTGGGATTAATTTAGAAACTTTGGTGGGATTTGGGGATTTTATGGAAGAATAGGAGAAGAACGAAGAAGAAGAAGAATAAAGAAGAAGAGGAGCGGAGAAGAAAACGAAGAGGGAGAAGAAGAAGGATAAAAAGAAGGACTGGGAGAGAGACAGCCGATTGTCTTCAGAGATTTTCTCCCTTTTTTTTTGTTATCTCTTTTTTTTTTCTCTTTCTATTCTAAGCGGGAGAGGGGGAGAGCACCCGCCCTTTTTTTTTTCCTGCATCTCCACCCGGGAGAACACCCGCCCACTCAATTTTTTTTTTGGGTTTTGCCCCCGTGCACACCTCTTTGTTTTTTTTTGATTTTTTTTTACAAAAGAAAAGTGCTTCATGGTCCCTCCTTTCTTCTTTATTGCATTTTAGCTCTTCAAGTCCATTAGTGTTGCCTTCCACCCCACACTGCATTTCTCCACTGCAAAAAAAAACATTTCTCCACTGCACATTTCCATCAAAGCATTCTGCCAATGCACCTATAAAATTGGAAAAATACCTTCCTCAACGAATTTTGAGCTCAAGCTTTATGGAGATGCTTCAAACGTCCTAAAAAGTGAAATTATAAAAAAAATTGAAAGAAAAACAAACCTCGGGTTGCCTCCCAAGAAGCGCTTGTTTAACGTCATTAGCTCGACGTTGGAATGGCTTAGTTTAGGCGATAAGAGGAGATCTCCAGCAGGGAGGCTCCTTCTATGTATTGTTTGAGTCTCTGGCCATTCACCTTGAACACTCCATTGTCACCAAGAATCTCGATTGCGCCATGAGGGAAGACTTTGGTCACCGTGAACGGTCCGGACCACCTTGATTTCAGCTTGCCTGGAAAGAGACGGAGACGAGAGTTGAAGAGTAATACCTTGTCGCCTGCATTGACTTCTCGCCTTACAATGTGTTGATCATGCCACCTCTTCGTCTTCTCCTTATAGATTTGGGCATTCTCATAGGCGTTGAGGCAGATCTCATCTAGCTCATTCAATTGAAGGAGTCTCTTTTCTCCGGCTTGTTTCATATCATAATTCAACTTCTTGATGGCCCAATACGCCTTGTGTTCGAGCTCCACCGGTAAGTGACATGCTTTGCCAAACACTAGCCGATATGGAGACATGCCTAATGGGGTTTTATAGGCAGTCCTATAGGCCCACAATGCATCGTCCAACTTCCTCGACCAATCCTTCCGAGAGGAGTTAACGGTGGTCTCTAAGATGTGCTTCAATTCGCGGTTGGATACTTCAACTTGCCCGCTGGTTTGTGGATGGTATGGTGTGGCAATGCGATGTTTGACTCCATATTTGGCCAAGAGTGTATTCAGCTCACGACTTGTGAAATGAGTTCCTTCATCACTTATGACAACTCGTGGCACTCCAAAACGGGTGAACAAGTTCTTTCTCATGAAGTTCACCACCGTCTTTGATTCATTGGTTGGTAATGCGGCTGCCTCCACCCACTTTGATACATAATCGACAGCGACGAGAATGTATTTGTTGTTGTAGGATGATGGGAAAGGACCCATGAAGTCTATACCCCATACATCAAACATCTCCACCTCCAAGATTGGTGTTTGTGGCATCTCCATCCTAGATGAGATATTACCTGTTCTTTGGCATTCTTTGGCATCTATCACATGCAGCAACAAAGTTACGGGCATCATGAAATAAAGAAGGCCAATATAAACCCGATTGTAAGACTTTTGCTGCTGTCCTTTGAGGTCCGAAGTGACCTCCTGCAGCTAAGCTATGACAAAAGTTGAGTACACTATTAACTTCATTCTCAGGAATGCAACGTCTTATCATAAGATCAGCACAATGCTTGTATAAGAATGGATCATCCCATATGTAATTCTTTGAAATAGTGATCAATTTCTTGCGTTGTTGGTAAGATGCTTCAGGAAGCTTACCTGTTGCTAGGTAGTTTGCAATGTCAGCATACCAAGGGGCTCCCTTCGTTATTATGGCAAAGAGTTGCTCATCGGGGAATGAGTCATCGATATCCAAATTGTCAATTGGAAGTGATTTTGCTTCTAACCTTGAGAGATGGTCAGCTACCAAGTTGGCCGAGCCTTTCTTGTCACGGATTTCTATGTCAAATTCCTGCAAAAGAAGAACCCAACGAAGTAGCCTAGGTTTGGCTTCCTTCTTAGAAAGAAGGTGTTTGATGGCTGCATGATCAGTGTATACAATGGTTTTTGAACCCATTAAATATGATCGAAACTTCTCAAATGCATAAACTACCGCAAGTAATTCTTTCTCAGTTGTCGCATAATTCATTTGTGCATCATTAAGGAGTTTACTTGCATAGTAAATGGCATGTAACTTCCCTTCTTTCCGCTGCCCCAAAACAGCCCCTACTGCATAATCACTACCATCACACATTAATTCAAATGGAAGATTCCAATTGGGTGTTGTGATAATGGGTGCGGATGTGAGCTCCTTCTTAAGCTTGTTGAAAGCCTGCAAACACTCATCAGAAAAGTTGAAAGCATTGTCTTTTGCTAACAATTCACATAAGGGTTTAGTGATCTTAGAAAAATCTTTAATGAACCTCCGGTAAAAACCGGCATGTCCTAAGAAACTTCTAATCCCTTTTACGTTGCTAGGTGGGGGAAGTCGCTCTATAACTTCAATTTTAGCTTTGTCAACCTCAATCCCCCTAGCTGAAATGCGATGTCCAAGTACTATACCTTCCGTCACCATAAAGTGACACTTCTCCCAGTTAAGGACTAAATTATGACAGGTAATGTGGAATCCTTACCCAAATATGCATATTTGAGGTGACTAGGTAGTGGCTTTTGCTCTAGCTTTGGTGGTTGAATTCTTGATGGAACTAGCGTTTGGCGAAGTTGAGTTTCTCCTTCATTCTCAATCTGCATGGGTAAAGCCTCGAGCAATTGTGCCCTTTTTGACACGGTTAGGTTTTCATGTTCAACATCATCATCAAAAGCATCAAAATCATAATCATAATCATAATCATTGTTGAGAACCTTTTCGGTGCATGATTCTATCACATCCACCACACATACATCATCATAAGAGTCGGGATACTTACTTGATCGGTAAACATTGAATCTTACCTCTTCTCCACATACTCTGAATGTAAGTTCTCCCTTTTGGACATCTATAAGTGCACCACCTGTGGTGAGGAATGGTCTTCCAAGAATGAGAGGCACCTCCCGGTCCTCATCCATCTCCAAGATCACAAAATCTGCCGGGAAGATGAACCTTCCCACTTTGACTAGCACATTCTCCACCACACCCTTTGGAATCTTCACTGATCTGTCCGCCAATTGGAGGGTGATCCGTGTTGGTTTAATCACATCTCTCAACCCCAATTTGTTGTAAACTGAGTAAGGCATCAAGTTGATCCCCGCTCCAAGATCACAAAGGGATTTAGTGAAATCCTTATCTCCAATGGTGCAAGGAATGGTGAAGCTCCCCGGATCGTCTCTTTTCTCCGGTATTTTATTTTGAATCACTGCACTACACTTCTCAATATCGGACCACTTGCGCTTCTTTGTGAGTAACTCCTTCAAGAATTTAGCATAGGTAGGCATTTGTTCCAATTTTTCCGCCAAAGGTATGTTGATGTGGAGTTGTTTGAAGAGATTTAGGAACTTTTTGAAGTTTGGGTCTTCCAAGGGCTTCATCAACCTTTGAGGGAAGGGTGCAGGTGGTTCATAAGGTTTAACCACCTCATCTTTTAATTTTTCATGTTTTGGAGGTGCAGTTGACGAATGCATGTGCAGTGGCAAAGTGCTTGCATTTTGACCCTGCACATATGCTTTTGCATTTTCTTCAGCAGAATTTTCTGCATCTTCCCCCATGCGTGGTTGTTTCTTTTCCTTTGGATCTTCTAACTCCTTCCCGCTTCTTAAGGTGATGGCTACCACCTTGGCATCCCTTGGATTGCTCTCCGTGTTTGCGGGGAGAGTACCCGGGATGCGACCTTGAATGTCCGCCAATGTTTGAGCCATTTGACCCATTTGTCGTTCCATTGCCAAAATGGATGATTGCACATTATTGTTGAGGGCCAATTGTTGTTGAATGTGGGTGCTTGTATGTGTCACAAATTGATCTAACCCCTTCATATTGTTGTCCGTTTTCTGCATGTGGGCAAGAATCAATTCTTCAAGATTCGAATTCTTCTCCTCTCGAGGTTGTTGAGGTTGAAACCCAGGTGGTGGGTTGTTGGGACGAATTCCAGTGGTGTTTTTATTTGACCATGAAAAGTTTGGATGTTTGCGCCATCCCGGGTTGTAGGTGTTGGAGTAGGCACCGCCTTGGTTTCTTTGATTATTGATAAATTGAACTTCCTCCAATTGGGCAGCTCCTATGGGGCATTGTTCTCGATGATGAACACCTGCACACAACTCACAAGAAATAGTTTGGTCAGCGGAATCGAGAGAGAGGTTGGCCACTCTCCGTTCAAGTGCATCGAATTTGGCATCCAACTTGGCTTCGATTCGTGCTTCTAAGCCGGTGAATTTGTCGACTTCATGAATACCGCCTCTCCTTCGTGAGCTCTTTTCTCCACCCCATTCATTAGCATCAGAGCACATGTTCTCTATGAGGTCATAGGCGGCTCCGGGCTCCATAGAAGTAAATCCTCCACCGGATGCCGTGTTCAAAGCTTGTCTGAACTCTCTTCTAATCCCATCAAAGAAGATGGTGATCACATTCCACTCCTCGAGGCCGTGGCTTGGGCACTTCAGCAAAAGCTCTTTGTATCGCTCCCAAGCTTCACTTAGGCTTTCATCCTCGGCTTGTACAAAGTCTACAATCTCCTTTTGGGCTTTCATGGCTTTAGCGGGTGGAAAATATTTGTCAAGAAATGCCTTCTCTAGCTGCGCCCACGTGGTGATAGATCGAGGCGCCAGGTTTTGGAACCAATGAGCTGCTTGACCTATTAATGAGAATGAAAACATACGCAGCCGGATTGCATCATCGGACACGCCAGGATTCTTCATGG